CAGTCCTGGTTCCTTCACAGGTCTTAAATAACTGCCAGCAGCTCCAGCCCATGCTCCTAGAGCTCCGTGATTTTCCATCCTTCCAAACAATTAAAGCTCGGAGCCACTGAATACACCTCCTGCAGCAGATCAAGGTCCTGAGCTGCAAGTGTGTTACCTGCTTGTCCTGACATGCGGAAATGTCACCTGTTTTCCTCTGCAAAGGGAAGCAGGCCCGGCTGGGGCACAGTGGTGATTGTTCTTGGCAACCTAGGAGCAATGGAGGGACAAAAGGAGAGTACCCACTAATAGGTGGGTAGGAGAAGGCACTGAATGCACACCAAAGAGCCAGAAGACAGAATTTTGCCTTATCCTTGACACAGGGAAATCACCAATAACAGAAGTATGAAAGCAGCTATGTGGTTTGAAGCCCATATTCAGAGAGGGAGTAAGAGAGCCATGTGATTAAATTCAGGGGTTTGTTATCAGACAGATGGAAGTGGAGTCTCAAATTGGCTACATGTTGGTAGTGATCTAAAGAAAGTTACCTCACCCTTCAATTTACTCACATATGTAACGTGGATATTAAAGTACCTATCTTTCAGGGCTACTCTGAGGATCGAGTACAATAGTGCAAGAGAAAACATTTGCCTCAATTACTCACCAGGATAGGATGTGCTTGGTATTAGCTAAGTAACTAGTAGAATCTTGGCCATGTCCCAGCTCTTCTGACCTACCTGGGCCAGCGTTTTGCTCTGGTTTTCCCATCAGTAACTAAATTTCCTCCTGGTGCCCAAGGTTAGCTTCAAGGAAGAGACAGCTGATCTAAAGATAGCAAGTCAAAGAGTATTGTCTGGAGGAAGATGGAGGGAAATGTCATTATCTGGGCTTCCTTTGACAACCTCAGGGAACGTGACAGGCTGCTCCCTAGGGAGAGAACAGCCCCAGGCCAGGGCAGAAGGTGACCTTGAAGCCGAGTTCTCTGCATCCTGATGTGGACTTTATCTGGCTTCCTTGAACGATGAAGGGAAAGGAAGAAGGAATGCAGAGAGTAAAAGAGAATAAAAAGACAGGGAGGAAGAAAGGCTGGGGGGAGGATGGGCAAAGCCTTCTTGTCTCAAGGATAATTACATGTGCAACCACTTGCCCGTGGGACTCTGGGACTGGAACAAGGGCAATAATTACAGAATGGGCCTCAGAGGGCTTTTGGCCAGCTCTGGGTAGAGTATAGGCAGGACAGAGGTGTCTCCTGGACCGACCTCCCAGGCCCTGCTGTATCTGTGTCCTTCACCCAGAGCCTATTAGTGACCGAGAGGCTTCAGTGGAGCATTATGGTTAAAAGTAGTCACGCTGATGGACTTGGGTGATGAAAGCCTCCAGCCCTGCTCTTGATGGCCAAGTGATCTGAGTGAGATCCTTAACCTTCATGCTGTCAAAAGTGCAGCCCCTTCCTCACACAGCCCTCAAAGAGGAATTTCTCTGACTAAAGAATTAACTATTTTCCTGCCTGATCCTGATTTTCCTGATCAGACAGGTCATATGTCTTCCTTTATTTTAATCTTTATATTTGCCATTCCGAAGCAAGGCTGTTTTCTGTCATCTAATGAAGTGTCAAATGATAATATTGCCATTTCTTCAGTATTTACCATGTACCAATATGCCAGGTACTTTAGAAATATGTGGCCCAATTTATGAGCCTTGCACTGAGCCTCCAGTGGTACAACCACTGGAGCCCTGCAGGGTCCTTTTCCAATCTCATGTGGTTGTTGACAGAAGTAATTCTCCCATGGCTGTAGAACTCATGCCTTATTTATTTATTTTTTTAAGGCTAGCAGCAGAGAAAATAGAATTTCTCACCTCTTTTAAAAGGATCACCAGATTAGTTTAGGCCCTTTCAGGATAATTTCCTTCAAAGTTAAAGCTTAAAAGTCAACTAATTAGGGACGTTAATAATATCTGCAAAATCCTTCACCTGGCATATAACATTACCATGTTCACAGATCTCACTCCCATTTGAAGGGGAAAAATGATCATGCCATATAGGCCATGGACTTGGGAGAGGGGAGGAGTCCCAGTGCTACATAAGAATCTGCCTCACCGGGGATTTAGCTCAGTGAGTGGTTCCACCCCCTGCCTTGCAAGTGCAAGGACCCGAGTTCAATTAAAAAAAAAAAAAAAAAAAAAAAAAAAAAAAGAAAAAGAATCTGCCTTCTTTGTTATGTGGTCTCAGAAAAATTGACTAGTTTCTCTAAGGTTCAATTTCCTTACCTAGAAACAAAAAGCAATAAGACCAGCCAGGGTTATTACAAAGACTGAATGACAAATATTATATTAAAAAAGTAAAACAAAATACCCAATCGGGTTAGCTTTATAAAGAAATATGTTTATTTGGCTCATAGTATGAAGGCTGAAAATTCACAATCAGACAGCCCAATAGGTTCAGTCCCTGCTGATGGTCCAGCAGTGGATGGTGTCATGGTAGAAATGTATGCAAGAAAGTTCACATCACAAGACAGAAAACCTGAGATTCAGTAAATAGGCAAGCACAGGCTTCCCCGCCCCCCAGTACCAGGGCTGGAACTCAGGACCTTGCACTTGTAAGGCAGGTGCAGCACCACTGAGCTAAATCCCCAGCCCTAGCACAGGTTTTATAACATGTCATCGTCAAAAGAACTCAACCCATGAGAACCTTCTCAATCCCTTCTGAGGGCAACTCCCTCAATGACCTAAGAACCTCCTACTAAGCCCCACCTTTTAAAGGTCCGCCACCACTCACATTGGACTCTAAGCACCAAGCCTCCAACCAACACACAAACCCTTGGAGATCACATTCAGGGATGTCCAAACCATAGCATGAGTATATAACAATTACCCATCTATTCCTCTTGTTCACCTATCCTTTAGTCTCCATGATTTGAAGTTGCATAGGAAACCATTCTAAGTTGCCAAAATTTTGCCAAAAAGTACACTTGATTCTCAACTTTCATAGTAGTTAAAATGTTCTACACAGCTACTGCAGACACTGAATTAGTGAATAGCAAAGCATTTCTCTGGCAAAAATGCAAGGTTCCTACAAGCTTCTGGTCACATTTTCACCAACTGGTCGATAGGTAACAGTGTCTCATGTGTGTTTCTATTTAAGGAAACCTTATTTAAAATACATTGTTGATTCATTCACTCTGAACTCATGGATAACAAAACTGTTCTCAAGCCTAAACACAGTTTAATTACACATATTTTTTCCTATGGCAAATCAGAGGCTTTTCCCACTTAGGGAAAGTAGGTAGTATGTCAGCACTATGCTTAGGGATTTGTTTTAAATAGGAAAATCACCAAAAATAAACACAAAAATGTGAAAAATCTGACACTAATTAGACCTCAAAAAGGTTACCTAGTCCCGTCATGAGAATTAAAACAAGAAGGCAGAATATAGTCTTCTTGATTGATCCCAGGTAGGACATGCAGGCAAATCACTCAAAGTTATAAATACATAAAAATATATGTGTAAATAACATGTTTTATTTTCTTAAATCTTTTTTTTTTTTTAATGTAGAGGAGCTAGAGTTAGTCGGAAGCAAAGTCTCTTTTCCCTTGTTGAGCCTTTCTGGAGAATAGTCATTCTTTCAATACATTTTACAACTCTCTTATGCACCATTAAAAGAGAGAAACTGAGTCACCACTGGTTAAAAAAATTCATGTTTTCTGTTCACTCAGTTCTGAGAGATCAAGTGCGCTAAGGGAATTTTTTGAAGACGGGGTCAGTGCCCAGTCTCATTGCAGACCCAGATTCCTGCCAAAGGTAATTTGGCTTCAACTTTCCTTCTGCTTTCTTCCCTTCCTTCCACACCTCTGCTTTACAACCGGCTTCCCCTGTGCTCCTGTCTCTGTGTCTCCTGTTAGTGGCATCAGAAGCTCCCCCTCCTCCTACCCTGATAACCAAAGCACATTAGAGCTCAGCAGCAACAACTGTGTTCCTGGATGTGGCAGCTGTGTGCTGGGACACAGCAGCTGGAGGACAAAAAATGGGACTGAGGATTCAATGTTGGGGACAGAATAGGAAACAATGATCTGCTTGGCAGTTTGGCTATCTTTGGGTACCAAGCCTGCCATCTGTGGGGAGTCCTCCTATATAATTAGTTAGCAAAACAGAACAGAACCCTGCTTTTGTAGCTGATACAGCAGGGTAACATCTCTGGTGAGAGGGCTGGGGCACTAAATTGCCTTCACTGAAACATTAAATAGCAAAGTGAAATCCATATTTAGGAATTACACTTAGGTGCAGGTGTGGGTGGGCAGGCATCACCCAACCCAGCTGGCATGGCTGCTGCTGTCTGCAGTGATGTATTGAATTTAATAACGGAGGTATAGGAAATTCAGAGTGATTTAGGGGCTTTGTGTAAATTGATAAGTGAAATGCTTGGAAGTGGATGCGGAATGCCTCCCCAATACTCTTTAATTTTGAAACCCCAAACTCAAGCATTGGCAAAAAGTAAAAATGAATTGCATGTGATTTAATCAAGATTTTCTGTGTCTTGCACGAACCACATCTTATAATAAGAATTATGCCTTTTCATTTCACACCAAGTCAGCTACAAGTCTGTGGGTACCTAGTAAGACCAGGGTCTGGGGCTAAAAGGGGCTACGCAATGTTTTCATTTAACAAAGTTCAGCTGAGCACCTTCCTGGACTGGCACTGTTCTTTTGCTCTCCTATGAAGATTAACATTACAGAGTGTCAGGCCTGAAGGAGCACGTGTGTTATCAGGAGACATCAAGCAGCTGAGCCAATAAAATGATGCTGCCATCTTAGAAACAGTCCGAACACTCATGGAGTTTACGGCCTTTAGAGGAAGGTCAAACATGCACTTGTGCTCATTAAAAAATAACTGTTGGAGACAGTAAGAGAGGAATGCAATTGACAACCGAAATCTACAGACTGTAATGACTATACAAATTATTTTAAAAGATCATTATAAGCTGGTAGCTACCCAAAAGACTTCTTTTTAGAAGTAGATTGGGGGCCAAATCTTGAAGGGTGAATTATTTTTGTTTCTTACTTCCTATAAAAGCTGTTTGAGTCAAATGGAGGTGCATGGGAAGGCATGGCAGCAACAGACACAGAAGTCTTTTCTGATATCAGAATCCAGCTCTTCAGGTCCGAATGTGCTCTTCCAGCCCACAGTGGTTGGGTCCTTCCTATGTACCGAGTGTTTTGCCACACAAGGGGGACATGCAGAGAAATCGGACAACACCCAGTCACCATGCTGTTGAGTTCAGAGAAGGAAGAGACTGAAAAACAAAGACAGTACAATGAGATAAGAACAGTAGGAGTCTGGTAGCGACACTGCTGGGGAACTCACAAGAGGACATGACTAAGGAGGAGGGAAAGCCAGAAGCCCTGGGTGTAGGGGAAGGAGTCACAGAGGACAAGCAAACCCTAAGATTCTTGTTACTGAGAAGCAGCAAGCCAGTGGGGCCACTGAAATGGATCTACAAACCCCAGGGATAGCACTGAGGTGGGCTCTCTTATCACAGAGAAAAACACATTGCTAGGTAGAAGGAGTCACACTGTGATGTCAGTCAGGGAGTCGGAGAAAGAACTGATGTAAGAAAGGTATTGTTTCCTGAGGACATAAAAGGATGTCGGGGTGGCTCAGTAAGAGGGTGAAATTCCTTCTAGGATTATTAAATGGCAGCATTTAACTTGTGGTTAATATACATTAGTTGATTTATGGTACTCATTAAAACTAGGGATTATTTTTCAATCTCTCAATCAAAGCCTCACCATTCTTAAAAAGTCCGAGGAAAATTGTTTTGTTGATAAATACATTAGAAGAGGGACCCACGGACTTTTTTGTCCTTTTGAAGAGATTCACAAATGAAACAAATATTCATACTCTGTTAATGAATATTTTGAATGAATGTTTTAGAGTCCTGTTTGCTATCATATATTGGACCTGACTAAGCTCTAAAGCCAGGGAATTTAAATCTCCACATGGTCGTTTACTAGCTACATACCATGGGCCAAGACATGGAACCCAAGAGCATGGAACACAGGGGGTTCAAATGATCTGAATCTTGGATCTTTCATTCCCTAGCTATGTGACTTTGGGTAATGTATTTAACCTGGTTCTGCCTCCTCTTTTACTCATACAACAGGAATACTAGTGTCTACATGTAGCTTTGCAGTAAGGTCTAAGTGGGATAAATTTGTTGAATATTCTTCAAATGCTATCGCATAATGGTAAATTCTTGGTAAATGCTAGCCAGTTAACTAATCCACCACTGCCCAAACCTCATAGCCAGGACTAATGGAAGGAGTCTATGAGGGAATACATTTAAATCACTGGGCCCCATGTCTAACACAGAATAAGTGCTCAATAAATTAACTGTTGTTATGATCGGTTTTATTACCATCCTTTGCTCCATAAGCTTTGTGTTTTTCTAGCTGTTTAACAGAGCAAGGTTCCAGCAAAAGTATCGATTTCACTGAGGCCCAACTGTGTATGTGGCTGCATGCTAGCAGGAGTACACAACTTGTGGCCCTCAGGCCACTTTCCCTCTTTTTAAAAATGTTATAATAACAAATATTAAAAAGGAAGTTTCCTTACTTATATACATTAATGATATTACATATTTTATATGCTGCCCCAAGACAATTTATCTTCACTCAAAGTGAGCTAGGCAAGCCAAAAGTTTAAACACTCCTGCCAGCATCCAGAGAGGTGTGGACTTTTTCCTGCCCTTGAGGAGCATATAGTCTAATTAAGGAGGTATAATCAATTGGAAAAGGAGAGCATGATACACAGAACAGTGTGTGGTAAATTCCAAGTGCTCCAGGTACAGGTTCATCAGCAAGATCTCACTGAAGCTGCATAAAGTCTAGGGAGAAGGGTGTGACTTGAATTGGGCTTTCAGGAGAAGGGATGAGAGAACTGGTAATGAATGCACAACTACATTACCTACCAGGCCCTATGTAAAAGTATTCTTAGCCGGGGCCAGGGGAGGTTTCCATCCCTTCTCTTCAGCACTGTACACTACAGTCCCTTCTCACCAGGACGGCTCAGCCACTCCGGCAGGCCTCCTCCCAGGCAAGGAGCTGCAGGTGTGAACCCCACATCCTCATCTGCCCCAAGACCCTTGGGATCACACCAGCTTTCTTAAGACTTTTGCACTCTGTTCTGTTTATTCTGATGGCAGTAGGAAAGGGGGCGTGCACATTGTCAGCTGGGAAAGAACACCAGTATCTCCTTCTTGGAAGCACCTTTAATCTAGTTTCTGGTGCTTCCTTCACTTGGTTTGGCAGGCATAGTTTTATTCTTTCCTTCATGAAAGGGCAGAGAGAAGTCAAAAATCTCCCCCACTAATCAACAAGCCAGGAGCCCCTCCTTCTCTTGGGTATTTTATAGGTGGGCAAGAGAGGGCTTCAGAAGTGAGGCTAGGAGTGGCTGAACCAGTTCAGTTGCCTTTTGCCAAGTCCTGAGAGAGGTGTCTGTCTTAACTATCAGTGCCAACTTAAGTTTGGGGAGACCCAAGGCCTCTTTGCCTCAGCCAGTGTTGGGAGAGCAGGAATGTTGCATCCGATGCCCTGTTAAATATGTGAGGCACATTAGCCCAGTCCCTGACTCTGGGCAGGTGTTTTCTTAGTAGTAGCCAAGGGGAATCCTGCTATATTATTTTCCTCTTTGCTTTACCTCCAAGGTGGCTAAGAACCTTTGCTTGTCCCCACATTGCAAGACGAACACAGTCCTAAGCCTGCATTCATGCCAGTATCCTTCTCCCACCCGAGAGTGTAGAAGACAGAGCTTACACATCTTCATTCCATAAAGGTTTACTGAGGCCAGCTCTGTGTAAAGCACACTGGCACCGTCTTTTCTGAACTCTGCATTAAGGTGGGTGGTTTGTTAATTTTAAGAGACAAAGGAAATAGAGGGCTGTTGTAAGCAGAACTCAAAATTTTCACCTTCCAGGAGCTTAGAGTTGGTGCAACGAAGGAAGACTTTTGAATGGGAGTTGAGTGCCCTTGATCCCAATGGGTATTGCAGTGCGCCAAGCTATGAGATGAGCCCGGAGCAGGAAGAAACCCCTGGCTCAAAGGATCCATCACTTCTAAGCTGCTTCATAGACTGTTGGGAGAGTGCATAATCATTCACTCATTCTTTTCTTCAGCCAACAAAAATGTCTCAGTCCCTACTATATATATGTATGAGGCACTCTTGTAGGTACTGAAGGTGTAGTGGTGAACAAAGCAGGTAACAGCCCTGCCCCTTGAATGTACATTCTAGCAAGTGAATGTCTCCTTCTCAGTGGACATTCTGGGCTGTTCTCCCCCAGTCTTGCAGCTGATAGCTCCACTGGGTCACACAGACCATCAAGATGCCATGCTGGCTCCCCATCCACACAAGGATGTGGCAGTATGAGCAGGTCTACCTCCGTCACCACTGCCTTCCTTCTGCCCAAAACAAGATCTCAGGGAGGAGCGACCGTCCATCCCCCCTTCCTGAGGAGTGACAGGGAGGTGGATGGAAGGGACTGAGAGGTGTGATGGATGGAGGCTCTGTGGATGAATTCTCCTGACACAGAGAAGCAGAAGCCTTACTGAAAGGACAGGCCGCCCTGAGTCATCCATCCTCCTCCTGGAAAGTGAGCCGGGCACCACACTCCCCAGACTCAAATGAACAGGGTGCTAGAAGATTTCCAAATTAGCCTCAAAAATGTTTTCACGAGCTCCCAAATCAGACAAGCCGGTGAGTTGTTTGTTTTGTTTTATCTTTTGGGGGGTGCACATCATTGTGTTTAGCATGCAATCTTTTCCCCCATTGTTTATTGGTACATTTAAAGCAAACAATAAGGTTACATTTATCATTGGGATCTTGTACCTTTACATGATCTGTCTTGGTTCTTATTTTTCCCCGTACCCCTGCCCTCCCTTCACCCCCTTCACCTTCCCTATTTACAAAGACTTTGTTTCCATGTTTTCCTTTTTTCACATTTTTTCTTTTCCCTTTTCCTTTCCTCTCCTGGAAAGTGAGCCGGGCGCCACACTCCCCAGACTCAAATGAACAGGGTGCTAGAAGATTTCCAAATTAGCCTCAAAAATGTTTTCACGAGCTCCCAAATCAGACAAGCCGGTGAGTTGTTTGTTTTGTTTTATCTTTTGGGGGGTGCACATCATTGTGTTTAGCATGCAATCTTTTCCCCCATTGTTTATTGGTACATTTAAAGCAAACAATAAGGTTACATTTATCATTGGGATCTTGTACCTTTACATGATCTGTCTTGGTTCTTATTTTTCCCCGTACCCCTGCCCTCCCTTCACCCCCTTCACCTTCCCTATTTACAAAGACTTTGTTTCCATGTTTTCCTTTTTTCACATTTTTTCTTTTCCCTTATTTCCTTTCCCCTCCCCTTCTGACTTCCCCTTTAGCCATTTTCTTCCTATTTTACACTAGCAATTATGCCATTTGAACCTTACTTACACTTTTAGTTTTCACACCAGAGAAACTACTTGGTATTTACTCGTATGTCCTATTTATTTCACTTAAGAGTTTAGGTATACTTTGTTTCCATTTTTCCTTTTTTCACATTTTTTCTTTTCCCTTATTTCCTTTCCCCTCCCCTTCCGACTTCCCCTTTAGCCATTTTCTTCCTATTTTACACTAGCAATTATACCATTTGAACCTTACTTACACTTTTAGTTTTCACACCAGAGAAACTACTTGGTATTTACTCGTGTGTCCTATTTATTTCACTTAAGAGTACAGGTTCGATGTGCATCCATTTAGCTATGAATGACTCTAGTTTCTCATTCTTTATGACTGAATAGTATTCCATTTTATAGAAAAACCACATCTTCTTTATCCAATCTCCAGTTGATGGGCATTTGGGTTGTTTCCAAGTTTTATCTATTACAAACTGTGCCGCTACAAATATGTATGCACATATATCACTGTGGTATGATTCTTTTAATTTTGGGGGGAAGATACCCAGCAGAGAGATAGATAGCTCTAATCCTAGTTCTTTGAGGTGCCTCCAAATTGATTTCCACATTGGTTGCACCAGTCTGCACTCCCACCAACAATGGAGAAGGGTTCCTTTCTCCCCACAGCCCTGCCAACATTTGTTATTGGTTGATTTCTTGCTAGCAACCATTCTTTGTGGGGTAAGGTAGAATCTCAGTGTTGTTTTCATCTGCATCTCTCAAATGATCAGTCACATTGGTTGCACCAGTCTGCACTCCCACCAACAATGGAGAAGGGTTCCTTTCTCCCCACAGCCCCGCCAACATT